TTTGAACACTGTATTCTACCTCAACATGTCTCTTGCCCCTTGAATTTGTCCCTTGTTTATCAGATTCCTGGTCTCTACCTGTGCCAAGCTTGTGACTACATCTATAGTTGTCATCTTAAGATATAGGTAAAAAGGGATCTTTTCTTCTAAAAGTTCTGCCTGAGCTCACATACCACTGAACTGTGGCAGGCATCTAGCTTGCTGTCTTGTTGGCTTGGGAGCCAGCAATGCCAGCATAGAAAAGCTTTATGACCAGGCTTCCCCAATTTAGTGCTCTCCAAATTTGTTCAGCTGTGGTTCTCATCATCCCTCCCCACTTGGTCCTGAGGAGAATTGGGGAAGCTGGTCTAGACATCAGCTGCGCTTCCCATCCAGATAGTTTGGCTTAACTTATTCTGAATATGGTGAGATGCTAAAGCTGGGGAGAGCTTGTAAGAGTCTGCTGCATCTGCAGACCTGTTCCATGCTTGCCTGTGCATGGCTGCCTTTCCCATTAGCAGTGTTAGGAGAAGAGACATTGTTTCCATAATATCCTGAGCCAAGAAGTACAACATGGCAGGCCTATCATATAAGTTGTTGATCTTGTTTCATAGTTCATAGTCCACAGATCTGGACAACTTTCATCCAGTTTCCAACCTTCCCTTTTGGGGGGAGATTATTTAGAAGGTGGTCAGCCCATAGTTCCAAAGGGCACTGGAAGAACCAGATTATCGGGAACCCTTCCAGTCAGTGCTCAGATCCAGGATAGAGTACCAAGAGAGCTTTGGTCACACTTGTCAGTGACTTTTGTTGGGCATAGGATGGGAGTAGTACAGCCATCCTGGCCCTCCTTGTCCTCTCAGTGACCATGGTATTCTTCTGGACTGCCTCAGTGGGTTGGGAGTGGGAGGCATGGTGTTGCTGTAGAGGGAAGAAGGAATGGCCTTGAAGGACAGGAGGAAGAGTCACTACCAAGGCAATGGGGAAAAAAAAAAAGAGGGGTTTGAGCCCGGGCCAAGAAAATAAATGAAAAAACATCTCAGACCAGCCCCTCCCTAGTTCATACAAAAATAAAGTGAGGGAGGGGGAAGCACCTTCAGCCTTGCAAGATTCTGTTACTATAGCTGTTACAATAAAATTGGTCCTGACTTATACGACGTCGGTTTCTTAGTCTGGTCTACCTCATTGGGCTGACAGTTGTGGTGATTCTCCTCCTTCCTCCTGGGCTGGTTCCAGTTGTTGGGAGGGGGGAAGCAATCCAGTCCTAGACCTCTCTTCTGCAGGGTCCCACTTCTTTTTAACATCTACAAAGCCACTGGGATAGACCATCTGTCAGTACAAGGTACAGTATCATGAGTATCCTGATTATATTCAGTTTTATATCTCTGCCCCTGGCTGACCAAGTGAGATTGTCAGGGTTCTGCCCCAGTGTCTGGAAGCTGTGGAAGTCTGGTTGGGAACAGTAGCTTCACCTCAGTCCTGCCAAGACCAAATGGCTGTAGGTTTTGCTCTGCTTCCCCTGGGTCTGGGAGTTTCTGTCCCTTGCTTTGGACAGAGTTGCACTATGCCAGTCAGACCTGTTGTGCAATTTGGGGATTCTCCTAAACTCACAGCTTCTGCTCAAGGTGCAGCTGGCAGCAATGGCCAGGGGACTGTACTCATTGCATCTATTCCTAGATTGGGAGGGGATTGCTTGTGATCACTCAGACCTTAGTCATCTCCTGGTTTGACTGTTGCAATGGCTCTACATGGGATTCCCTTGAAGACAATCTGGAAGCTACAATTAGTCCAGAATGCAGGAGCACAAGTAATTATGGTTAGCCCTTGATATGCCTACATAATACCACTGCTCTTCACACTACACTTAATATAAATAAATAAATGTAGGTAGATATGCATGCATGCATGCAAATGTCTCAAAATGTGAGGCTCGTTGAATCCTAACAACCATGTCTTGAATGTGAAGCAAAAGAGGCTGTTCTGAATGTGAAGAAATTTAAACTGTTTGTGACTCAACTTTCAAATCTGAAATATTGAATTTGAAACATTTTGTGCTCATGTACATTTTCCTGACAGAATGCTGGATTATGCAAGTATTATTTCATAAATAGTGCTAATAAAACTTTAGTAAGGGTCAGGGGAGAGCTTCTAGAGTCATTTTGATTGAAAGCTTATGGCTAGAGGAGGTATAAGGAAGCTGACATATAGGATCTTTGATAACGAACTTGGGGTAGTAGAATGACATTCATCATAAAGCAAAAAGGGTGGTAGGAAGTGATTAAGACATACAGAACAGAAGTTTATATGGGGAAAATTGCACAGATTTCTGTACTATCTTTTCTCATGATTTTAGAAAGTTACAAGAGGAATGAAAAAAACAAAGTCTCTAGAAATGATGCAACAAAGAATGACAGATTTTTTTTCTGTGCCTTGCATAATTGTTTAAAATGTTGAAAAACAAGATTTCACTGCTCACTTAATTTTGCTAAAATTCAGTGTAAATGTCATGGTTTCACTTTTTTCTCCTTTTTAGATCTTCATTTGCATTTCCATTGTGCAATTAATACATACTGTATTCGTTTTTATCAGCTAAACTATATTTTGCATAATAACTACATTGATTCAGACTCCCCCCCGCCGCCCCCCCGGAAGCATTATTTTCAAAACAAATTATTTACTCTGAAAAACAGGTTTGGAAACATCTGAGTCTTTTGATGCAGATATTTAGATGTCAGCCTCCAAGATCCCCAATTACCAATTATAACTCAACCTTCCCCATTGGCCATAGTGGTTGGGAGTGATGACTGTTGTTATTCTTATTACAGTATACCATAAAACATTTCCTATTTCATGCA